ATGATGCATATCTCCTAATGGGTTTGTCATTATCAAAAAGGGGGAAATTGTTGGACAATGTGCTATCATGAATATATATTTTTGCAATGTCCTTTGCCCATTGTCTTTTAGGTTTTGATAATGACAAAAGGGTGACAAAACATCATCATCATATTGTGCATCAAGGCTAAGAATCAAAGCTACAACAAGTTCATATCCGTCCGTGAAGAAGGGACTTGAGCATCGGTGGAAGGAACGAGACCGAAGAGGTTGTTTCCTTAGTTGGGTAGTGTTTTAGGTCTTAGATTATGTGTTAAAGAGTATGGCATCTCTAAGGTTCATTCCCTTATCATCCTACCTTTAAAACACATTTTTTTCCAGCAAACTATTCGAATAAATTGAAAACTATTCGAATAAATCCCTGAACTTCTATTCTGACTTAGTTGAATAAATCCAGAACTAGTTGAATAAGTCTTGGTTTTTCAATCTGATTTATTCGAATAAGAACTGGTTTCTCAAGCCACGCGATTGATCCAAACTATTCGAATAGTTCTTGAGTTATTCGAATAAGTCGACAGTTTCAACTACCAAACGGCTAGTTTTATGAATTCTTTTCATCTCTATCCACTCCCTAACTTCTATAAACAACCCTCTTTCGTGATTATCTTCATAAGAACACTTAGAACACTTTGAAGAACATATCCTTTGAATATCCAAAGAGATTCTACTCAATTCCCTCCTTATATCCAAGCAAGGCAATTGTTTTGATTGCTAAATCATTTCTTGCTTGAGTTTTTCCTCATTGCTTGAGTCTTTGAGAGATATTGCCATATTCTAAAGGACTTCATTGTATTTGCAACAATCTACTCCGTGTTGGAAGAATTACTCGGTTGCGGTTTGTTTTCTTACTTTATTGTAAGGGATTTGTATTCTTGGTGTTGGAATTACACCAAGTGGTAGAAATGCTAACGGTTTGTGAAATCAAACGTTAGGTGGAAGAAATCCTGAGTTTTGTGAAATCAAAACTTCGGTGGTAAGATAAGAGGCTTGTGAAATCAAGTTCTCGAGTTGTATTCGGATTGTCAAACTCCGTTAAGTTTGACAGGTTAGTGAAGGCCTGGGCACGATTGCTTCGGGGACTGGATGTAGGCATTTAGGCTGAACCAGTATATATCGTGTGTGCATTGCTCTTATCCTTCACTTTATTTTGTTTGTGGTGCATTGATTTTATTGAATATTCGTGAAGAACGTTTCCGCGCAAAAACTGGTCTTTTGGGCAACACCTCTATTCACCCCCCCTCTAGAGGTGTGCGAGGCGTCTAACACCTAGTAGGGGGGACATCCCTACGGTATGTGACTTTCCTGATGTGTTTCTAGATGACTTACCTGGTCTACCACTCCCTAGGGAGGTAGAGTTTTCCATTGATCTCGTTCCAGGAACAGGACCCATCTCGATCACACCTTATCGCATGGCGCCTGCGGAGATGAAGGAGCTGAAGGCTCAACTGCAGGAGTTGCTGGATAAGGGCTTCATTCGTCCCAGTGTGTCCCCTTGGGGAGCACCGGTTCTGTTCGTCCGCAAGAAGGATGGATCGATGCGGTTGTGCATCGATTACCGTCAGTTAAACAAAGTCACCATCAAGAATCGCTATTCGCTACCACGCATTGACGATTTGTTCGACCAGCTTAGAGGAGCCACGGTTTTCTCTAAGATCGATCTCCGGTCAGGATACCATGAGATCCCCGTTAAGAAGGAAGATATTCCTAAGACAGCATTTCGCACTCGGTACGGTCATTATGAGTTCACAGTCATGCCCTTCGGGTTGACTAACGCACCAGCAGTGTTCATGGATCTGATGAACAGTATGTTCCGGAAGCATCTTGACCAGTTTGTGGTAGTCTTCATCGATAACATCTTGGTGTACTCCAAGACACAGGAGGAGCACGCTGAGCACTTACGCATTGTCTTGAGCATTCTTCGGGAACAGCAGCTTTATGCCAAGCTTTCCAAGTGCGAGTTCTGGCTGCGCGAGGTTACTTTCCTCGGCCATGTCATTTCAGCTGAAGGGGTGAAGGTAGACCCGTGTAAGATAGCAGCGATCACGGAGTGGAAGACTCCGCGTAATGCTCGTGAGGTGAGGAGTTTTCTCGGACTGGCGGGTTACTATCGTCGGTTCGTTTAGGACTTCTCCAAAATAGCATCGCCATTGCAGAAGCTGATGAGGAAGGACGTCAAGTTCATTTGGACTGACGCTTGCCAGCAGAGTTTTGAGCAGCTAAAGGAGTGTCTGACCCAGGCACCAGTGCTAGTCCAGCCCACTCCAGTAGTGGAGTATACAGTCTTCAGCGACGCGTCCCATAACGGTTTGGGGTGTGTTCTCATGCAAGAGGGCAAGGTCGTTGCCTACGCATCTCGGCAGTTGAAGCCGCACGAGTGTAATTATCCGACACACGACCTAGAGTTAGCAGCTATTGTACTTGCCTTGAAAATCTGGAGGCATTACCTCTACGGTGAGACGACGCGTATCTTCACCGACCATAAGAGTCTTCAGTACTTGTTAACACAGAAGGATCTGAATCTCCGACAGAGGAGATGGTTAGAGTTGATTAAGGACTATGACTGTCACATCGCTTACCACCCAGGTAAGGCGAATGTGGTAGCCGACGCCCTTAGCCGTAAGACTGTAGCTGTGTTGCATGTTCAGTCGACATTACGTCAGCAGATAGCCTCGGCCCAGAGCAGCGATGATTTCTGTATCCAGACTGTTGAGCTCGTCTCTCGAGGAGAGAAGCCGGATTTCGCAGTTCGGGGTGGTATCTTGTACTATCGGGAGCGTATGGTAGTGCCAGCGGGGGAGGTGAGAGAACGCCTGCTTCGCGAAGCACACAGCACCGTGTATACCATGCACACGGGCAGTAACAAGATGTTTCAGGATCTTAGGAGACATTACTGGTGGCCCGCGATGAAGCGGGAGATTACGGAGTTCACATCGCGATGTTTGACTTGTCAACAGGTCAAGGCCAAGCACCAAGTTCCTTCAGGGCTGCTTCAGCAGATCACCATTCCCGAGTGGAAGTGGGATCGCATCACGATGGATTTCGTTGTGGGACTGCCATTGTCGCCACGTAAATAAGCACGACACAGTTTGGGTCATCGTTGATCGGTTGACCAAATCAGCTCATTTTCTCCCCATTCGTCGTGACTTCTCACTTCAGCGTTTAGCGGAGCTGTACATCCGCGAGATTATCAGGCTACATGGAGTTCCATCATCTATCATTTCGGATCGTGACCCTCGATTCACATCACAGTTTTGGAAGAGCCTACAGAGGGATTGGGCTCCGATCTCCACTTCAGTACGGTGTTCCACCCTCAGACAGACGGTCAGTCGGAGAGGGTGATTCAGATTCTCGAGGATATGATGCGTGCGTGTGCAATCGACTTCGGGGATGGTTGGGAGCAATACCTGCCACTCATGGAGTTTGCATACAACAACAGTCACCAGGCTAGCATTGGTATGGCACCGTATGAGGCTCTGTACGGTAGACCCTGTCGTACTCCTACCTGCTGGACAGAGCTCAGTGAGAGGAGGTTGGAGGGACCAGATTTGGTTCGTGAGACCGAGGAGAAGGTCCAGGTGATTAAAGACCGACTTAAGGTGGCTTCGGACCGGCAAAAGTCCTACGCCGACCTTAAGAGGCGTGACATCGAGTATGTAGTCGGGGATAAGGTTTTCCTGAAGGTGTCGCCTTGGAAGAGCGTCTTACGTTTCGGAAAGAAGGGAAAATTGAGCCCGAGGTTTATAGGCCCGTACCTAGTCACCGAGCGGGTAGGACCTGTAGCTTACAAGCTCGAGTTACCATCGGAGTTGAGCAAGATCCACGATGTATTCCACGTGTCCATGCTCCGGAGGTACCGGTCGGACCCTTCTCATGTGATTCCAGCTGATACGGTCACACTCGATGAGAATCTCACTTATGAGGAGGAGCCGGTTGAGATTCTGGCTCGTGAGGTCCGTCAATTGAGGAACAAAACCATTCCGCTGGTCAAGGTTCTATGGAGAAGTCACACCGTCGAGGAGGCGACATGGGAAACTGAGGAATCCATGCGCACTCGTTATCCACATCTTTTCAATGACCAGTGATCAGGTAAATTTCGAGGACGAAATTTTTCTTAAGGCGTGGATAATTGTAACGCCCTGCAACCCGGTCTAATAGAATTGATTATTTTAAATGATTAATTACTGTTTCGGACAAGAGTTGGGGAAAATGAAAAGTTCTTAGAAACATTATTTGATCATATCATTAAATTCGTTTAGACTGTCTGATTCCAGAAACGCCAACGGATCTCAATTTGGACCCGTTCGGGGGGAAAAGCGCGTACCGTTCAAGTCAGATTCTACATAACGGAGTAAAATATATTTGTAACCCCCCTAAGCCTTGGTTCGCCCCCCCCCCCTCAACATCACCATCATTGCCCATTAATTTTCATCATTGTTTTTATTTTTAAACCCCCAACCCATTCACTTCATCCTTCACTTTTTGTAACCCCCATATTCAACACACATTCTCTCTCTTCCCTTTCCTCTTGTTCGGCCAAGGAAGCAAGCAAACAAGGGAGGATTCCGGCGATTAGACGGAAGGTAGAAGAGGAGGAAAGGCACGCAGGAGGTTGTCCATTCGTTCGTTCGTTGGTTCGTTGATAACCGTTCGTTCATCTCGTCTCATAGTTTCGTCAACCCCTTCGTTTAGAGGTGAGTAGTTGTCCCTCTAATTCTAGAACATTTAGTTATAATCTATGTCGTTATATTCATAGGAATATCGTACGCAACCTACGTAGAATCTATGCATGTTCGTAGGTTAACCATCCAACATACGTGAGCCCATGTTATCAAGTTATGTGCTCGTTAATATGAATGTTTTGAAACCTTGTAAGTTCATCGATTTTCTAGCATGGAAATATAAACATTCGTTTCTTTAAAACTTCCAACGTTTTGATGACAAACAAACAGATATAATGGAAGTCAGTGTGCCTTGATAATCGAGTTACGGAATAGTACATCAGGCCACGCTGGACTCCTCAGATGATTCCGCACATCGTGATAGTCGATTATCACATGTGTGATAATCGACTATCAGGCCCTGCGGATTCTTGGGTCTGAGTTAGCTTCACCGATAATCGATTATCACATGGGCAATAATCGATTATCAGGGCTCTCTGAACTTAGGACTTTCTGAACAAACCAACTTGACAATTGATTGCCATAGGGTGACAATCGACTATCACATTNATGCATTCATTCCATCATGTTCGTTCTAGACGAATGTTCTAGGTTTTCATCATGTGCATACCGCTGTATGGAGGACTTTGTGCGCCTACTACAGTGGGCCCGTCCAAGAACCTTCGGGGACCAACGGGCTTTCATGATGTTGGGCTTGTGTACGTACATAGTAGTCAGGTTACGGCTACTACCTGGTTTTGCTAGTCCACTCGCGATATTTTCGTCGTGCCCGGCTCGTTACCGTTCGGGGCAATGACCGGAGTGTAGGGGTGATCCTGTCAAGTGAGACTAAGCCAGGGGTGTCCCTGATAGTTTAAGTCATGCATCAAGTCATATCATCATCATGTATGTTCCTTGTTATTCGAAATAGCTTTAACAGGTGAAAACTAAACAGTTAGTAATGTGCGGTTTCCCGTACGTTAAGTACAGGTATTGATATGGGTATAGCCATATGGGTTATCACTTAATGTTCTTTTGTTAGATTCACTCCTCAGCTTTTGCTGAGCGTGTAGTTGCATGTTTTTGCTACACGCAGGTAGACATGACGGAGCAGGTGCCAACCCTGGAGAGCAGTGACGATGGGGAGATGGGCGGTGCACGGACGAACTCTTAATTACTTTCAATAACTTCATTAATCAATTGGGCATGAACCCACCCTTGTCATTATTTAATTTGGACTGGACTTATTTATTTACTTCCGCATTTACTCTACACATTTACTACACATGCTTTGGGAATAACTCCTTTGGCATTTATTCCCTAATTAAAACACAACCGTTTTCTTATTAGGTAATCATTAATGTTTTTGTAACGGAGGGTTCTCGGACAATCCTTGTAACCCTGCCGGTCCGTCGGGTCGCGGGTGAACTGGGTCCACGGAAGGCGGGTGTTACAGTGGGGACGAAATTGCAGATTCCCACTTGCTCCAAGAGTGCAATCTCATTGAACCGCGCTCCTTCTTCTCCGACATAGAGGCCGAGATCTTGTCCATTCCGACAAAGCCCTGTGAGAATTTGAATGTTTTCCTCATTCAAATAGATCTCCACCCCGTTGACCTTTGAAATCAACGATCCGTCCTCTTCCTTTTTCAAGTTTGAGTAGAAGGCTCGAACGAGAAAAGGTTGATAGTTGTTCTTCTTGTTGTAGAGGAGGTCGACGAAGTGTCCACGTTCGAGGATAACCCGTGCCTCGCGTGGAATAGATCCGTGAATGAAGCGGCCGGTGGAGAACCGGGGAGGAAGAATCTCCCGATGCTCAAACTTCTCCGAGAACCGCGTCGCCTCACCGCGGTCGTTGAACCAAAGCAACGACCCGTCGAGGTATTTGTGCGTCAGTGGTGGAGGAGTCGAGGCGGAAGCCACGTTCTTGCCGGTGTGCGATCTCTTTCTTTGACCTCCTGCTATGAAATCAAAATAGAGAGAGAGAATTGCAGGAATTTTGGCTAAAAATGAAGAACAATAGCAAGAATTGATGAATTATGATGAATATATGAAGTAATTTAGATTGGAATGAGTAAAAAATGAGTAGAGTTCACCAATTTATAGAGTTGGAGGCCTAGAGATCCGTTGGTGGAGTCAAACAGCAAATAAATGCTCTCCAAATGGCTAGAAAACGGTCAGATTTTTGAAAATCTACCGTTGTTAGTCGATTTACAACTTATGTAAATCGATTGTTGAGCTCCTCTGATTTCTGTCATGAGAATCCGCAGTCCCTGTTAGTCGATTTACACAGTTTGGATAATCGACTGTCGCTGATTTGCGCCTAAATTCAGAGAAGGTTCTGCAGCCTCAAATAATCGATTATCATGATTCGAATAATCGATTGTTGAGGTTTGCGGTTGATTTGCTCCAATCTTCCGCGGGCAGGGATAGTCGATTATCACAAGCTTGTAAATCGATTTACACCAGGTCTGGAAATCAAAAATCGATTTGCTTTGTTCCCTCTGACTTTGACACCTGAAAATAAAATTAAAAGAAGAGCCCTGCAAAAAAGAGTTAAAAACATCTCCGACGTTCAAGTTAGTAAGGACCAAAAATGATAATTAATGCACAAATTAGATCATCGTGGAGTCAAGGATTCCGAGTTCACTACGAATGCGGAAGAACGACTCTTTCTCTAAAGGTTTTGTGAAAATGTCAGCTAATTGGTTGTGTGTTTCAACGAACTCAATTTCGACATCACCTTTGAGAACATGATCTCTAATGAAATGATGCCTAATGTCAATATGTTTCGTCCTTGAGTGAAGAACCGGATTCTTTGTCAAGCTTATGGCGCTAGTATTATCACATCGAAGAGGAACGTGATCAATACTAAGGCCATAATCCACTAGTTGTTGCTTCATCCAAAGGATTTGAGCACAACAACTACCGGCGGCAACATATTCCGCTTTGGTTGTGGATAACGCAACACTGACTTGCTTCTTACTAAATTATGAAACTAAAGAACTACCAAGCAAGTGACACGTCCCACTCGTACTCTTACGGTCTAGTCTACAACCGGCAAAGTCCGAGTCGGAATAGCCAAAAAGATGACAAGGAGACCCTTTGGGGTACCATAGTCCAACGTTCATTGTACCAACAAGATATTTCATTATCCGTTTCACCACCGTCAAATGCGATTCTATCGGACACGATTGATACCTTGCACATAAACAAACGCTAAACATGATATCGGGTCTACTAGCGGTAAGATAAAGAAGGGAACCAATCATACCTTGATACTTCTTTACGTCTACTTCCTTACCCTTTTCATCTTTTTCCAAGTGATCGAAGGTGCTCATCGGGGTAGCCATTGCCTTGGAGCCATCCATTTCAAATCTTTTTAGGAGCTCCTTGCAATACTTTGATTGACAAATGAAGGTTCCTTCTCTCATTTGTTTGACTTGTAAGCCCAAGAAGAAATTGAGTTCCCCCATCATGGACATCTCAAATTCATTTATCATTAAGATTGAAAATTCCTTGCATAAAGATTCGTTAGTAGCACCGAATATAATGTCATCTACGTAAACTTGCATCAAGAGGATGTTATCGTTTTTACTCTTGATAAAAAGTGTAGTGTCAACCTTCCCCCTTTTGAACCCGTTATCCAAAAAAAATTTGCTCAAACGTTCATACCAAGCACGAGGTGCTTGTTTAAGACGGTAGAGTGCTTTCTTTAGTTTATAGACATACTCCGGGTGCTAAAAGTCCTCAAAGCCCGGGGGTTGATCAACATACACTTCCTCTTGAATAAAACCATTGAGGAAGGCACTCTTAACATCCATTTGGTATAGTTTAAAATCCATAGATGAGGCAAAAGCGAGTAATAAACGAATAGCTTCTAAACGTGCTACCGGTGCATAAGTTTCTTCAAAATCAATGCCTTCTTCTTGATTGTAGCCTTTAGCTACGAGCCTAGCTTTGTTTCTAGTGATTATCCCATTTTCATCGAGTTTGTTATGGAACACCCATTTCGTACCAATTATGGTATGATCATCGAGTCTTGGCACCAATTCCCAAACGTCATTTCGTTTGAATTGGTTAAGCTCCTCTTACATTGCCAAGGTCCAATGTTCATCATCAATTGCTTCCGAAATGGTTGTAGGTTCAATTTGAGAAACAAAAGCCATGTGACCTACGATGTCCCTAAGAGAGCTATGAGTACTTACCTTTCGGTTGATGTCACCGATTACCTTGTCAAGAGGATGGTCCTTTGAAGTCCTCCATGCCCTTGGTATTTGCGTTTCCTTCTCTTGTGGTTGTTCCTCGTTCATGGGTGGCTCTACTTCTTTGTCTTGGCTTTCCTTTGAGTTCTTTCCTTCGTCATTGTTGTTGAGATAGATGTTCTCCAACGAATCTACAAGATCATCACAAGAAACCTTTCTCGCCAAGCGAGCATCATTTTTGGCAAAGACAACATGAGGAGATTCCTCAATGGTTAAGGTGCGTTTGTTGTAGACTCTATAAGCCTTACTACGCAATGAATAACCAAGAAAAATTCCTTCATCCGACTTTGCATCGAATTTACCCAAGTTATCTTTTCTGATACTGTGAACAAAACATTTGCAACCAAAGACTCGAAGATGGGAGAGGTTTGGCTTTTTTCCTTTGTATAATTCATATGGGGTTTTCATGAGTATCGGTCTAATGACGGCTCGGTTTAACACGTAGCTTGCGGTACTCACGGCATCTGCCCAAAAATACTTAGGAATTTTTGCCTCATCGAGCATAGTTCAAGCCATCTCCTCGAGACAACGATTTTTACGTTCCACCACGCCATTTTGTTGTGGTGTATGTGGAGCGGAAAAGTTATGCTTGATGCCTAGTTCGTCACAGAACTCGGTAAAGAGATCTCGTTCGAACTCTCCACCATGATCGCTTCGTATGGCTACGGTGGTTAAACCTTTTTCATTTTGAACCTTTTGAGAAAAGTTTTGAAAACATGAAATGCCTCACTTTTATGAGTTAGAAATAATGTCCATGTGAATCGAGAGTAGTCATCAACAAAAACAAAGGTGAAATAGTTTCCCCCAAAACTTTTTGTTCTTGATGGTCCAAAGAGATCCATGTGCAAAAGTTGTAGGGGCCTTGTTGTAGACACAACATTTTTCGATTTAAATGAGGCCCTTACTTGCTTGCCCTTTTGACATGAATCACAAATGGTGTCCTTCTCAAACTTGAGTTTTGGAAGGCCAACTACTAAGTCTTGTGAAACCAATTTATTCAAAAGGTTCATGTTGACATGAGCTACTCTACGATGCCATAGCCACATATCGTCCTCCTTACTCATGAGACATTTGGCAAACTCGGAGGGAGATTCATCTAAGTTAACCATATAAATGTTATCAATTCTATCACCACGAAGAATCGTCTTATTGTCACTAAGACGTTCTACTGTACATGATTTAGAATCGAAGGTCACACGATTTCCCTTGTCACACAATTGACTTATGCTCAAGAGATTGTGTTTAAGACCCTTAACAAACAATACATTATCAATAGAGGAGGTATCGTTTTTACCAACTGAACCAATGCCGATTATCTTGCCTTTGCTATTATCGCCAAAGACAACATTTCCTCCTTTAGTTGGTTTGATTTGCAAAAACTTGGATGCATCTCCGGTCATGTGCTTGGAGCATCCCGCTATCAAGGTACCAAAGTACACTTGATGCCTTCAAACACACCTGGCCTACAAATCAATTTAAAAAATTTAGGTACCCAATTCCTTTTGGGTCCTTGGGCGTTAGGAACATGTTGGTAGTGTGATTGGTTTTGAGTGCAATGCCTATGCCTAGTGAAACAAACCGGGGCTATATGTCCTACCCTATTGCAATAATGACAAATAACATTTGGATTATGCATTCTCCTAGGTTGATAATAGTTACTAGGTTTTCTAAATTGATTGATCCTAGTTTGAGAAAAGTTTTGTTTATGCATATTTGAATAATTGTTTCTAGGTTCTCTAACTTGACCATTGTTTATCCTAGTGTTCTTTCTAGGTGGTCTAGTGTTCCTAGTTGTTGTAGGTTGTCTATTATTGCTCAGTTTAGTTTTCCTAGGTTGAGCCTTAGGTTGTTTAGGTGGTTGCTCAACTTTTTCCTTATTATTATTGGTTTCATTTTCAAACCCTAAGCCATGTTTAGTAAGTTGCAAATTGTCAAGAACATCATTAAGGTTTTTATGAGAAACACCAAACTTCTTCAAGGTTCCTTCAAGTTTTGCAACTTGTTGCTTAAGTGATGTACAAGAACTACATTTAGAACTTTCCGGTTTCTCGGCGCTTCTTTTTCCGAAAGACTTGTTTTCTTCTTTAAGTTTTTCATTATCTTTTGATAGTTTCTCAACTTCCTTATCCATGTAAGTAAGTTGTTTCTTCAAATCCTTGTTAATTTTAGAAGCGTTGACATATTCATCATAAAGTTCATTAAAGGCTTCTTGTACATCATCAAAAGTATAGGAATCTTTAGAAGTGGTACATACCTCTTCCGGTGGTTCCTCGTGTGCCATGAGGCAAAGGTTGGTGCTTTCGTTTTCTTCACCTTCCAATGACTCGTCACCGGAATCACCTCCCCATGAGATGTAAGCTCGGTGCTTCTTGAATGGTTTCTTTTCCTTCTCGTTCTTGGCATTTGGGCATTTTGTCTTGATATGCCCAACTTCTCCACACCCATAGCACTTGGGTGGTCCTCCATGCTTCTTGCCCTTTTGTTCATACTCCTTACGCATGAACTTGTGGAATTTCTTGATAACGAGCCCGAACTCGTTGTCTTCTTCGCTTGATTCCTCCATGGCGGGTTCTTGGCTCGAGGAAACCTTGAGTGCAATCCCCTTCTTCTTTTGTTCACCTAAAGAGGGGAAAAGGATGGTAGACTCATAGGTTTTGAGGTTACCTCTAAGCCCGTCGATGGTGACGTTGGTGACGCCGATGGACTCTTGGATGGCATCCGCTTTGGAGCACCATTCCGGTGTGAGACTCCCCAGGATTTTTCTCACAACCTCCTTGTCCGTGTACGTCTTCTTGAGAGCATGGAGATCATTGACGATTTTTGAGAATCGCTCAAACATCTCAATGATTTTCTCATTCTCCTTCATACGAAACAATTCATATTCATGGGTTAGAAAATCGATTTTAGCTTCTCGGACTTGATCCGTACCTTCATAGGTGATTTCTAGTTTGTCCCACATTTCCTTGGTGGTGGAACAACAAGAAATCTTCCAGTAGTCATCCGGGTTTACGGCAAAATAGATGATGTTGATGGCCTTTGCATTGTTCTCCACTTTCTTGATGTCTTGCGCATCATACACATCCTCGGTCTTAGGGACGTTGGTTTCCCCGACCTTCTTCATGGGCACATCTTCACCGTTTTTGATAATCCTCCATAGGAGAAAGTTGGTGGATTGGATGTAAATCCTCATCTGCTCTTTCCAATAGGTGTAGTTCGTTCCGTCAAACAACGGAGGTCTCGTGGTGGATTGCCCTTCACCTAAACCTGCGTATGAGCTTTGAGTATAAGCCATTGATCGTTTCTCTCAAACGGTTAAGTCATTCAGAGAGTATGGCTCTGATACCAATTGTTAGAATAAAGGCCCAACGCTAGAGGGGGGGTGAATAGTGTTTAAAACAAAATCGCAGGAAATTAAAAACGAGAGCAATAAAGTAAAGAGCGTAAGGAAGGAGCACACCGAATTTTATCCTGGTTCACCACAACGTGTGGCTAATCCAGCCTCCCGAGAGACTCTCTCGAGCTACACTAACTCCGTTAAGCTTAAGGGTGCTCAACAAACCGATACAACTTGAGAACCCGAGTCACACGAGCCTCAACGCCTTTGCTCAGAGATACCACACTCCAAGACTTCTCACGAAGGAACAAAGAACTTCCTTCGAGTTTACAACAAGGGAACAACCTCCCTTAAAGTGTATAGAAACACTTAAACACTCAGGAATAAAACTCTCACAAAGAGTAGATATGAGTGAACTAGTAAACGCTCAAGAACACGACAATTTCTTCAAGAATTGGCTCTCAAATAGCTAAGAAAAATAGGAATGCTTATGCAATGAAAGAGTATTGAAATGTTGAAGAATTGTGTGTGAAAATGAGAGGATTTGGGTGCCATTTTATAGCTTAAAATGGGATAAACCCATTGCTAAACTTTCCAACAGGATGAAGACAAATTTTTCAGAGACACAGGGTGATAGTCGATTGTCTAGCCTTGATAATCGATTATCAAAAGATTCCCTATCCAAAAATTTAAAAATCTATCCGTTGGAGGACAACGGTAACCCAGATAATCGATTGTCAACAAGTGATAATCGACTATTGGTCCTCTCAGAAGATTCTGGGTTTTGGCTGTAGAGGCTGATAATCGATTGTTGCAGAAGTGACAATCGATTATTGCGTGCTTCAGAACTTTGAAGTTCAAAGCTGCAGAGGCTGATAGTCGATTGTCACTAAGGTAATAATCGATTATCACCCAGCTAAAACTCAACCAGCGAAAACCTGTTTTGAAAAACCGAGGTCCAAAAACGAAGTGTTCCCAAAAGTAACAACCAAGTTTGAGAGACATTGTAAATGGTGTAAAATAGTGAAACCAAGGCTTGTTTGATAAAAACCAAGTCTTCAAGGTCGTTTATCGCGTGAGTACGGTTTTGACTATTTTTCACGTGTTAGACCGATTGACCAAGATACAAAAGTGGTTTTTATAAAATAATTATTTGGGAACCTTTTAAATATGCCCAGAGGTAAAAACAAGGTTTAAAATATTGAAAACCACCGAGTTGGTTCGGACGCCGAAAACCGAACGCCGAACCCTGAATGCCGAACACCAACCGGGGTGGTTTAGGGTCTGGGAAAGGACCAGGGATTTAATGCAATAAAAATTTATTAAAAAAGTTTATTTTGATGCACAAAAACATTTTATGATTTTGTAAAATTATTTTGACTCTTTGAGAACCGAGACTTGAATTGATTGTCGGTTTTGATCACAAAAGACCGACTCGACTACGTCTTCAATTCTTGATCTTGTCCTTGAGTCTTTTGGTCTTGTTCCATGCCATTCTTCACGCCTTGAGTTATTCAACGAAACTCTTCATATCCACGGCGGTTTGGCAATTATCAAAACGTGTCAGAAATGAACACGATTTTAGTTTAACTTCATAAAAAGTGTGTTCCAACACAAATATATAGGGAGAAAGGTTTCCAACGTTCAAAATTTCAAAAATATGGCTATTGGAGCATTTAATTCAGTGCCTAACGGATATTTTTTTGAAAAAATTGAGATGAACAGCGATGTCCAAAGGTCTACATCACTGTTGAGACATTGATGTAAAGCCTCTGTACAGCGCTGTTATGCGATAAGTTTAAAACACGTTAAAAAATTGACAGCAATGTTCAAACCCCTAGAGCGATGTTCCAAAAGTTTCGGGAAATGAGTAAGTAGTCAAACCCCTAGATCGCTATTTTACAATCAGAAAAAAAAAATTTAAAAAATTAACAGTGATGTTGGATGGGGGTACATCGCAGTTGAAGAAGTTTCTGGTTTTTGATTGAAAAAGGTGTGTTTGAAGTAACAGCGATGTTGCAAAACCTACATCAATGTTACAAAAGTTTCTGGAAAACAAGGAATTAGTGAACTCTCTGTGACAACGATGTTGATTGAATGGACATTGCTGTTGGTCTAAGTAGTGTTGACAGTGTTTGCTTTAACATCGCTGTTGATTAACTTGACAGCGATGTTACCGTCAAGATAGCGATGTTGGCATGGTTCCCCCTGATTTTTTTAGTTTATGAGCGGGGTACCTACAAAAAAGAAAAAATTCTCCGACGCTCAAGTTAGTAAAGGTTTAACAAGATAATATGCACAAATTAGATCATCGTGGAGTCAAGGATTCCGAGTTCACTTCGAATGCGGAAGAACGATTCTTTATCTAAAGGTTTTGTAAAAATGTCGGCTAATTGGTTGTGTGTTTCAACGAACTCAATTTTGACATCACCTTTGAGAACATGATCTCTAATGAAAAGATGCCTAATGTCAATGTGTTTCGTCCTTGAGTGAAGAACGGGGTTCTTCATCAAGCTTATGGCACTAGTTATATCACAACGAAGAGGAACATGATTTATACTAAGGCCATAGTCCACTAGTTGTTTCTTCATCCAAAGGATTTGAGCACAACAACTACCGACGGTAACGTATTCCGCTTCAGTTGTGGATAACGCAACACTAAATTTTTTCTTACTAAACCATGAGAATAAAGAACTACCAAGTAAGTGGCATGTCCCACTCGTACTTTTACGGTCTAATTTGCTTTCGACAAAGTCTGAGTCGGAGTAACCAACGAGATGACAAAAGAGCCTTTGGGATACCACAGTCCAACGTTAACCGTGGCAACAAGATATTTCATGATCCGTTTTACCGACGTTAAGCGTGATTTTTTCGGACATGATTGATACCTTGCGCAAAGGCATATGCTAAACATGATATCCGGCCTACTAGCAGTAAGATAAATAAGGGATCCGATCATACCTCGATACTTTTTAACCTCTACTTCGTTACCTTTCTCGTCTTTGTCAAGATGGTCGGATGTGCTCATTGGAGTTGCCATGGCTTTAGCGTTGTCCATTTCGAACCATTTTAGAAGTTCTTTGCAGTACATAGCTTGGCAAATGAATGTGCCATCTCTCATTTGCTTCACTTGAAGACCCAAAAAGAACGTGAGCTCACCCATTATTGACATTTCAAACTCGCTAGTCATTAACTCGGAAAATTCCTTGCACAAAGACTCGTTAGTTGTAACACCCCAACCTGTGTGACCCGAATACAAGGACCAGCGGATCGGGTTGCTACTTAATTGGTATTCAGACACAATAATTTTCAAAACAACTTAAAACATTTAATTCAAAACAATATTTAAACATCCATCGGAGTTAGACGGTACCCTTAACGGTACCGTTTGGCATAAGGTACCGCTAGATGGAGATTTTTCTTGCGGTGGGGATGGTACCAAGCCTACCATTCTGACAGTAGGCCCTACCATCCAAGCAGTACCAAGGTACCGTCTAGACGGTAGATAGCCTACTGTTCGGACGGTCTGGCCTACCGTCGCAGCGGTACCAAGGTACCATCCGGATGATAACGGGCCAATTTTTGGAAATATCATTTTTAGTCACCAAACTTCAACTAAACTATATGGAAATATTCTCCAAGGTTCATAGATCATTTTGGCATCATAAATTCGTAGTTTTAACAACACTTTCAAGGTTTGTGAATCCTGGTTCTTCAAACATGCTAAAGACAAAACTCAACCAAACGACCATTTATGAACGTATAAACAATCTATTCGAACATTCTAGTCACTAGATATAGCTACAGGCTTACCTCGAGCTTAAATGGAGGTTTTGGAAATTTTCCGGCAAAACTTCCGGCGAGGTTTTTGGCTAGATCCGGTGAAACCTCACTAAATTGACAACACCAGTGTGTTCTCCTCACTCAGAGTAACAGAATAGAAGAAAGAATTCAAGAATTTGGTGAAGAATGGAGGGAGATGTGATATGATTATGTAGTGAAGGGGAAAATTACCATTTTTTGGGGAAAATTACCCTCTCAAACAACAACATAACACTCAAAATAATATGAAAGAAATAAAAAAAAATGCAGTTAAAGTAAAAGACACAGGACACAAGATTTTTTACGTGGAACCCTTCTAAAAAGAGGGAAAACCATGCCATGATCCATTCAGATTAAACTTTTCACTATAATATTAATTGAGGTACAACAAACACAACACTAAAACAACATTTGATATTCTCCCTACAAAACAACTCACTCTATGGCTAGTGATTCACGTCCATCCAACGGGTTTTCAGGCTACGGCTACCACCCAGTTTTGCTAGTTCACTTGTGACATTTTCATCGAGCCCGGCTCATTACCGGAGTGCAGGGGTGATCCTGTTAAGTGAGACTAAGCCAGGGGTGTCCCTGATAGTTTAAGTCATGCATCAAGTCATATCGTCATCATGTGTGTTCCATGTCATGTCAACATTCAATGTGGTCGTCATCATCATGTATGTTCCACGTCACATCAGCATTCGATGTGGTTGTTATTCATTTTGTTATGTATAATAATATCCCATCAAGTGCGAATTAATCAATTAGTAAACGTGTGGTTTTCCGTACGTTAAGTACAAGTATTAATATGTGTATAGCCATATGGGTTATCACTTAATGTTCTTTTGTTAGATTCACTCCTCAGCTTTTGCTGAGCGTGTAGTTGTTTTTGCTACACGCAGGTAGACATGACGGTACAGGTGCTAGAGGACAGTGATGATGGGAAGATGGGCGGCGCATGGACGAGTTCAATAAATAAATACATTTAATTAATTAATCATTTGGGCATGAACCCATCATATGTCGTTTTACTTATTTTGGACTTATTTATTTACTTCCGCTTTTACTCTGCATTTAAATCACACAAGTTTTGGGATCGACTTCCTAGCATTTATTTCACCAATTAAACGTAACCGTTTCCACAATAAATAGACATCAATGCATTTTTCTCTACGGGCGGTTCTCGGACCGCCCATGTAACCCTACCGGTCCATTGGGTCGCGGGTGAACCGGGTCCACGGAAGGCGGGTGTTACACGCACAAAGAATAAAATAAATAAGAAAATATACTCTGTACCATAAGATTAGAGATACCAACAAGGAATATGTAGAGAGCCTCCTCCACATGCATGATAAGTTGTCATATTTTGAATTCTCTCTTGGAAAATTCTTTCGTGGACCTAAGGTCCATGCTTATTTTATGGACCTTAGTTTATTTGTAATAAAGTAAAAGTGGGCCTTTACTGAAAAAGAAAATATCCATATGCAAGCCCATGAAAAATGTGAGGAAGTTAACATTTTAAATGTGGACGTTGGAACAATGTAAGCATCACGCATTCTCCTTATATTCTTCTTTTCACATTTTAATCTTTTATTTTACATTTTCCCAGATTTAATAAAAAAGTTAAATGCATTTTTTATTCTTCAAGTCCTCTTAATACTAATTCAAATGTGATTTTCTTAACAAAACATGATCAATATTTTTATTCTTAAAAAAATATTGGGAATTAGGCCAGAGTATTTGATATATATAAAACGTACTCGATTAGATCTTTAGTTGGCGTTCTACACACTACAAAGTATTACAACTCGATTAGATCTTCAGGAATTTAAAATCACAAACTAACACTAAAAGTTGGTACTCCGATATTGCTTATGCGTAACATTGATCATGCTAATGATCTATATAATGGATTGAATAGGATTTGATGTCTAGATTATTATCGAATAACTATGATGTGATTAATTAGGTAAGAATTAGTAAGAGTAAAAGTGATTGTTTAATTGGAAGGAGAAATAGATTTGGACAAAAAAAAGACAGGTAAATGAATTCTAGAGACGGAAGGAAGGAGTATGTTATTTGAACATAAACCCTTGGCTATGCGGTTGTCCGTATATTAAAACTCATCAATTACATTGGAGATGCATGTATACATGGTGTAGGACTCAAACGCACTGTGCCGTGTGTTCAAGAAAAACGGAATATGCTATGCAAAAATCGAAGAGTTGCAAGCACAACAGCCCCATGTCGCGACTAGTAGCAGTAGCAGGAGCAGCAGTTTGCAAGTCCTCACGTGGCAAGTCACCGTGGCCAGCTATGAAACACCTTCACCCGACATTCCATTCACGTCGTCCTCTTGCAACAACGTCAAAGATGATCAAGATAAAGGCGGTGATGAGTCGTGGATGTAGTTCATCAATGAGGATGCTTGGTCTTCCTTCACTTTAGACTGTGTGTCCCAAACAACCCCCACTCTCAGACGTTGGGTTAGACTTAACTGAGTATCGGTCAAATGGATGGATGACTCAGAGGCGGTTTTTGTTGGGGTCACTAAACTGACAAGTCAAATTACTTTACTCAATCATCCAGCCAGAAGTTGGGTCTCTATGGCTTAATTGGGCTTTGCCCTAATTGGGCATGTGGTACGTGCCAAAGCCAATCTCATGTCCGATGAAACAGTGTTCTCGTCTGTTAGTAGTATTGTCGTTTTCCCAACACAAGACCAAGAACTGTGAGCGCGGCTCGACAGTTGGAACTATGTTCCTACCTAAATAGTTAAATTCTAGGTACGAACCTCAGGTCAACTGGAATTTAATAAAATATGGATCTTGGCCCACTAAGAGAATCTCTCAGAGAATCTCCGAATCAACATTGAGGGTTGTTGGTTTGTTAAAATAGTGGGAAATAATTAATTAAAGGCCTAATTAATTATTCAACATGATAGATAACCTAGTTTGCAATTTTATTCTGTAGATGGCATCGAACAACACGAAAGGTCATTCCATCAACCTGCGCTATATCCTCGAGAGCCAAAAGCTCTTAGGGGAAAACTTTATTTACTGGGAGTTAAATCTCCGAATTGTTCTTGAACTAGAGAGGAAGCTCTATATCCTTGACAAAAAGCCTCAAAATGCACTCGCGGCAAACACACGTGCTGCCGAACTCACTTCTTACCAAAAGTATGAGGATGACAAGTGCGATGTGAAGTGCATCATCCTGGCCAGCATGATCCCACAGCTCTAAATGCTCCACACAGGACATGGAAGCGCACCCCATGATGCAGCGCTTGAAAGACTTTGCCAAGGTCAGGCTAGGCATGAACGCTTCAAGATCTCTAAGACTTTGTTTTCCAGCAAGATGGCATCGAGATCTCGAGTTGACCCATTCTTTCTCCAGCTAATCAGCATGATTGAGATGCTTGGAAAACAAAAGGCCCCTTGCACCCACTGCTAGGAACAGATCTCATTTTGGGAGCATTTCCAGAAGATTATGGTCAAAATGCCGTGAATTTCTATATGAACAAACTCAACATAACCTTAGCCGAGCTGTTGAAATTCCTTACCACCGCTGAGGAGAATCTTGGGAGAGGAAAGGCAAAGCCTGTCCTAATGGTGGAGGAAGGTGCAATGGCAAAGAGAGGTGGATCACGTCCGCCGGCCGGGAAAAGTGGCAAGGGGTCCAAGAACCCAAAGCCTAATCCCAACCACTCTGCGCAGAAGCTGAAAGCGGGAGCCCAGAAGAACAAGAAAGTCGCTGCTGTGTATTACCAGTGTAGCAAATGCCACTGGAGGCGCAAATGCGCAAAGCTTATGGCAGATTCGAAAGCGAGCAAACAGCCCGTCACCTCAGATATTTACGTTATTGAATTAAACATGTCTGATTTCACCGCTTGGGTGATTGACACTGGATGTGGTTCTCACATCTGTACTTCTATGCAGGATCTGCATGAGGTGAGATAGTTGACAAAGGGAGAGGTTCAACTTAGAGTTGGCAATGGAGCAGTTGTGAATGCGTTGGCCGTCGGAACCTATAATTTACCTCTTCCTAGTAGTCTTATGTCGCAATTAAACAAAGTTTTGTTTGTGCCTGCAATTAGCAGGAATATTATTTCTGTCTCCTTCCTTGACAAAGCAGGATATTCCTTGTTGTAAAAGACAAATGTTTGAATCTTTTCAGAAATGATATGTTTTATGCAACTGCTCTAATGACCAATGGGCTATATGTCTTAGACTTAGACGCCCTGTATATAACGTAGATGTTAAGACAAACAAGCCTAACGGTTTGAATCTCACGTACCTCTGGCATTGTCGTTTGGACCACATTAATGAGAAATGCATATCTAAGTTACGTCACTCTGGCGTACTTGATTCGTTTGACCTTGAGTCTTATGATGTATGCCAATCTTGTTTACTCGGTAAATGACAAAGGCTCCATTCACCAGTCATGGTGAAAGGGCGAGTGATGTATTAGGCAGGTTTAAGTTAAAAAAAAACGAACCAACAATATTTACTCAAAAACATGAATTAAGTGTATAGTTATCCGTTTTAAATGAAAATTGGGTTTTTGTGTAGATCTCATAAAATGTTGACCAACGGTATATAATTTGTAAAATTTGAACATTCGTGTAATGCATGGTGAGTAAAATAGACATTACAGTTCAATAAATAAATATAAGGATTTTATAATAAAATAATATTAAATCAATATAATACTCCTAATTCTAGCCGTAGAAGGATTCCCAAACCCATCCCCTTATATATACACACGCACGCACAATTGAAGAGAAAGAACAAAAGGAAAAACATATACGGAGTACTGGTCGCCGCTGAAGAAGTAACAGAGCAGGAACACAAGAACAGAGCCAGGCAGCGGAGGAGGAGAAGTACCGCCGCCGCTGTGACGCCGGTTCACCGCTGCTGTCTCCCCGTGCCGCCGCCGCTCCAGCGTCACTACTTCGCCGTTGCTCGAAAACAGCCCCACCACCATCGCGCCCTTGTTGTGGATTCAATTTGTCAATTTCTTTGGTTTAATTCGCCAATTAATCGAGGTCAGAACTTGCACATCTAACGCTAGGTTATGTATATAGATTTGAAATTCACGTTCGTAGTTTCGTATGATTGATTACGTGGTTTATTTGTTTATAATTGAATTATGATTTATTTATATTTTATGATGATATTGGAATCGATTGAACGAGGAAGACGAGGTACATACTTTTACTCTAAATTGTGTGGTTTGTATGATTATAATCTTTAAAAACGTTACATGTATCAAACTGTTTGGAATATGATAGAAATCTGTTGAATCTGTACACTCCCGATGCTGGACACTAGCCGGTACCGTCCAAACGGTACCTAGCTACTGACTCTGGTTCACTGCTGCTGCTCGTACTTATGTGAGACGGTCGGACGGTATGTACTGACGGTACCCAGGTACCGCCTGGCGGTACCAAGGTACCGTGAAGGGTACTGTACCGACAGCTGCAGTTCCGTTATTTGATTGTTTGACCCGATTTGGAACCTTAATTGACTCTGAAACCTAACGTGTTGCATGACGGTAAATGAAAGGTGTTTACACATGACATTAGGCCGCTATTTGGATAGCTTGATGACCTATTTAATTATTTCTATGCTCTTGATTTATAATGGATATAATGTGATATGCTTTGTACGTATAAAGTAAACTGAGGTTGTTGGTAGCTTGGATCTGAATAACTAAACTAGGTTAATGACATACGTTACCTAGAAGAACTCTAGGACTACTTTGTGAGAATTGAGATTGTAAGGTGACAATAGGTTGTAGAGCCTTATGGACTTAGTCCAGTGGCATTCGGCTAAAGATGTTGTTGAAACACGGGTTTATCGTGTTTTCGTACTAAAGCCATGTTCGTTTTTATGACAGGTTTTGATAATGCCAAACCGCCGTGAACGAGACAAGTTATTGAATATACAAGGAGAGAAATAAATATAAGAAGAAAATGTACATGTTAGACAACCTAAGAAATAAATATAAGAAGAAAATGTACATGTTAGATTGTCTAGTCAACCTAAGGACACTAGACAACCTAGACAAAAACCTAGGAATGAAAATGTACATGTTAGACAACCTAAGAAAAATTATCAAAATGATTTTGTGCATAAAATTAATTTTTCAAATAGACAAAATAATGCTAGAACACCTAGAAGAGAGAGTTTTCAAAAACCAATATTTTCCCAAAATAGGATGAATATGGTTAGGACCTCTAGCAACTATTATCAACCTAGGCATATGCTCAACCCAAACGTAGTATGCCATTATTGCAATAGGGTAGGACATATAGCTCCTGTGTGTTTTACCAAACATAGGCACTCCACCTATAATGAAACACACAACATTTTTGGTGCTAATGAAATGAAATCCTTTGGAAAAGGATATTCGAAACATAAACAATCTCCACAGGATAATGCACAAAAGAAACCTTACTATTTCTTCTACTTTGACGAAAAGAAGAAAGTTCACATTCCGTTACCGGAACCAACACAAATCATACCGAGATATCGGCACTCCGTTCAGGTAGACTGGAACCCGCCAACCACGAGATCATGGGTTGGCCAAGGTAATTCCTAAACGATCATCTAATCGGGTGTGTGTGTGCGTATAAGGAAACAAATTTTTGGGTGTGTGTGTTTACTAACCCCAAGGACCCATAGACATAGTTTGGGTACCAAAGTGTTGCTTTTTTGCAGGTACATATCAAAGTGAGGAACTTAGGGGGAACCAGCGATGGGTGGTTTATCCCATCGCCAGGAAGGAAGTATTTTCTAATGAGCAACCCTCTTCCCATCGATGGGAACTTCTTCCCATCGCTGGGTGTTTGACATTTTTTTAAAAAAATTTTTTTAACGGATTTCCAGTAGCTGTCTTCCCATGGATGGGAGAACCTTACCATCGCTGGGAAGCATGTTGCAGTTCAAAAATCATAGCCGTTGGGCACCTCATTCAATGACCAACAGCCATATTTTTTAACACCAAGGGCCCAAATTCTCTTTTCCTATAAATATTAACCATCCTTGGTCATTTTTAACACACAATTCACATTCCTCTTGCATACTTTCTAAACGCTTCAACAATGGCCAGAGGAAAGTCAAGGACCAAAACCAAGGCTTCAAAGAAGAAGGCCAACACCAATGCCACGACATGTTATTTATTTTCTCCTTATTAAATATGATTGTATTTTTATCCGTTGTATTCTGCATTTCCCTTTTAATGAACAAAAGTTTACTTTTAATTCTTTTTGTTAATGTCAAAAGGGGGAAGATATAAAGGTTATGCAAAGATTGAGGGGGAACTTTTTCTAAAACTAACTCTTATTCAACACATAAACTTTGTTGAAAAGAAAATTGAACTTATTAAGGGGGAACATTTTTTAAGTCTCAAATCAATCCTCCTATGCATAACCCCGTCTTGTTTGCCATTATCAAAAAGGGGGAAATTGTTGAAACACGGGTTTATCGTGTTTTCGTACTAAAGTCGTGTTCCTTTTTATGACAGGTTTTGATAATGCCAAACCGCCGTGAACGAGACAAGTTATTGAATATACAAGGAGAGAAATAAATATAAGAAGAAAGCAAGAGAACAAGACCCAAAAGAAGACCAAGAACGAAGACCGTAGTCTTAGTGTTGTTGAGTCGTTCATAATTGTGATCAAGACCGACCCAACCTTTACACCTTGGCTCTTTAGGCTAAAATTCTTTTCATTGCATTGAACACATCATAAAAATGTTTTTCAAACATGTTTAAAACATTAAAAACACTTGGTGTTCGCCCAAACCAAAAATCAAGCCATCCGGCGTTCGGGTTTCAGAAACCGGCGTTCGGCATTCGGTTTTCGGCGTTGGTTTTTGGCGTCCGAACTAACCGAGTGGTTTTCAACTTTTTATGACTGGTTTTTACTTCTGGGCACATTTAATCAGTTTTTCATCAAAAACACTTCAAAACCATCCTTTCGTTTTTTGTCGTTTGATAAAAACCACGCGAAACGGCATAAACTTGGCTAGCCGTGGTTTTTACTTAAATGAAGTGGTTTTCAAGTCTTTTTGTGTGGGAATTGTTTTTGAATGCATTTAAATGGTTCTCCAATCAAAACATCATGAAAACCACCTTTCGGTTTTGTCTTTTGGTGAAAAACCACCCGTGTACGGTGTTGACTTGGTCAACCGTGGTTTTTACCTTAACGACGTGGTTTTCAACTTACAAAGCTTGTTTTGACATCAAAATATATGAAATAAGTGTTTTATATACCTAGTTTTTACTTTGGAGAACCTTGCATTTTTCGGTCGGGTTTCAGCGCCGGTCAGCTAGGCCATGGTTCTGGGCTAGCCATCTACCTAGCGATGGTAGATTTCACCCATGCATGGGTAAGTGATCCTGGGATTCCAGAATCATGCCACCCAGCGATGGGAAGATCTTCCCATCGATGGGTAAGCAGTCCCTCAGCGAAACTGATTTCCAGAACCATGCCAAACAGCGATGGGAAGTTCTACCCATCGCTGATAAAGCCCTGGTGCAACATTACCACAAGGCAGAATGCCCTTACCCAGCGATGGGAAGCTTTACCCATCGATGGGAACCCAGCGATGGGAAGGCTTAACCATCGATGGTTAGGCATGACCGTTGCGAGTCATTTAAGGCTCCTTATTTGAAAGTCAACCTCCCATCCAGCGATGGGAAGCATCTACCCATCGATGGGTAGGTAACCGTTGGCTTCAAAACTGAAGGAAAATTGGCTTACCAGCGATGGGTAAGTTCCAAACATCGATGGGAAGCCAATATCCTGCAAATCCCAAATTTAATCAATCCCATAAATCAAGCCAATCATCCCTTAAATGTTTTGATCCGTTGGAGCCTATTTTGGCACTATAAAAAGGGGTGTTTGGGTCTGCTTTACACACCAATTCACTTCACAATACTCATACTTTCATTGCATTCAAATAACATCATTTTCCATAGCTTTCTAGAGCCAAATTGTGTGAAGTTTGAGTTATTCTTGAGCGTACTTAGTTTACTCATTATCTACTCTTAAAGAGAGTCTTGTTCTTGAGTGTTTAGTGTTGTATACACGTTAAGGGAAGCTTGTTTCCCTTGGTTGTACGAAGGAAAGGTATTTTCCTTCGGGTTGAAGTCTTGGAGTGCGGTATCTCCGAGCAAGTGTTGTTGAGGCTCGTGGGACTCGAGTTCTCAGGTTGTAACGGTTTGTTAAGAACCCTGGATTAGCCACACGTTGTGGTGAACCAGTATAAATCTTGGTGTGCTCCCTTTACGCTTTCTACGCTCTTTATTTTTTCACGTTCTTAACTTTTTATTCCTGCGATTTCTACGATCAAACGCTATTCACCCCCCTCTAGCGTTGGTCACTTATTCTAGCAGATGCACGTACATGGAATCTGGGATCTGATCCGTAGGATTGGATGTTCCACCCAACCGGCGCCGTAGGTACCGGGTTGACCAGAATCATGGCCGTAGGTAGTGATTCTGATGTCATAGAGTAGACTTTGAGTCATGGCCATAGGTAGTGGCTCTAAGTCCTAAGATAAGAATGTGGATAATGAGTAATTGGCATTAGCCTAAGAATAGGTTTTGAGCTACTGTATGATATGCGCTGTGGTAATGACTTGAATATTGTGATATTAACATGTGCAGATGAAGAATAAAGGTAAGTGATCTAAAGTATGTTATAATATAGTTGTTTTATCTGATAATTGTTATGTGATATTATTATTGTTGAACTTATGTGCATGATATTGTATGAAGTTATGAGCTAGTGGGTTCGTCTATGTGCATAGTCGAAACGTTAGATAGTTCTCACTTAGCTTCAATGCTGAGTGTGTAGCCCTTTTTCCTATTCGCTACACGTAGGTAACATGAATGATGAATAAGGAACTATCCTGGAGGGCAGCGAGGGCAGAGAGGTGGATGGATGCTGGCTGGAGGAGTTATCTGGTTTAATATGCAAGTTTGAATTTATTATGGGCAAGAACCCAAGTTATATTTTGATTTAACTATTAAAGGCTTCCGCACCGTTTTGATTTACTCCGATGGATGTTTTGAATATTGTTCGAATTAAATGTTTAAATTATTTTGGAAATTATTGTGTCTGAATACAAATTTAGTGACAACCCGATTAGCTGGTCCTTGTATTCGGGTCACGCGGGTTGGGGTGTTACATGAAGTATGATGAGCCTTTTGGGGCAAAACACTATTAACAGCAGCACACACACTCAATCGCGTACCATCTAAAGCTGTTGAGAGCACACCATACGAACTATGGCGTGGGACAAAACCGAATTTGTCATACTTGAGGATTTGGGGTTTTGATGTTTACATTAGACGCCTCATGACGTCTGATAAGCTTGATTCCATATCTGACAGGTGTATATTTGTGGGATACTCCAAGGAAACGAAAGGGTATGAGTTCTATCATCTTACCGATAACATAATCTTTGTTGCTCGAAACGGAAGCTTCCTTGAGAAGGAGTTTCTCTCTGCTATTTCTAGTGGGAGAAAGGTAGACCTAAAAGAAATTCGAGAACCACAAGAAGAGATCTCAATAGTAGTGGATCCCGAGCGTCAAGATTTAGTATCTCGACCGGCTCAGGTTTTACCACTTAGGTCACACCGAATGTGTAATCCTCCAGTTAGATATGGCTTCCACATATCTGATGAAGAGGACGTCGTACTGGTAGACCAAGGCAAACCTGAGAAATACCTCGAGGCAATCACGTGCCCCAAATCCGAAGAATGGCTTAATGCCATGAAATCTAAAATGGAGTCTCTGTACACAAACCAAGTCTGGACCTTGGTTGATGCGCCCGAAGGGATAAAACCCATTGGGTGCAAGTGGATTTTCAAAAAGAAAATAGACATAGACGGGAAGGTTCATACCTTCAAAGCAAGATTTATACCAAAAGGTTATAGACAAATACATGGAATTGACTATGATGAAACCTTTTCTCCAGTTGTAATGTTGAAGTCCATTCGGATAATTCTTGCGATTGCAGTGTTCTACGATCACGAGATTTGACAAATGGACGGCATGATGGTTTTCAATTCCTTAATGGGAACCTCAAAGAGGATGTCTATATGACACAGCCTAACGGTTTTACAATTGCTAGTGAATCTGCCGAAGTCTGTAAGCTGTAATGGTCAGTCTACGGATTGAAACAAGCATCTCAGAGTTGGTATATACGCTTTGATGAAACAATCACTAGTTTTGGTTTCGAGAAAAATTCTGATGAGTCTTGTGTTTAGAAGAAGGTTAGTGGGAGTTTGATAGTGTTCCTAATCCTATATGTCGATGACATATTGTTAATGGGTAATGATGTTCCTTCTCTTACATCTGTAAATACTTGGTTGAGCGAGAACTTTGCCATGAAGGACTTGGGGAATGCTAGTTATGCCCTTGGCATAAGAATCTATCGTGATAGGTAAAGAAAGTTGATAGGTCTATGTCAAAGTACATATATACTAACTCGAAAAAGGGATCCTTACCTATGATACCTGGCACGGCTCTATCCAAAAGCCAGAGTTCTTCTACTCCCGAGCAGAAGGAACTCATGATGAAGGTCCCATATTCTTCTACTAGACCTCATGTTTCATTCGCATTAAGCGTGACCAGCAAATACAGGGCAGGTGAAGCACACTGGACAGCGGTCAAGAATATCCTTAATAAGTAACTTTGGAACACTAAGGATGCATTCCTGGGATATGGAGGTGAGGAACAACTAAAAGTGATCGGTTACACTAATGCAAGATTCCAAACCGATCGAGATGACTACAAGTCACAAGCAGGGTTCGTGTTTTGCTTGAATGGCGGAGCTTTTAGCTAGAAGAGTTCTAAACAAGACACCATCGCCGATTCGACTACAAAGGCTGAGTACATGGCTGCCGCTGAAGCAGCTAAAGAAGGTGTTCGGATAAATAAGTTCATCACTGAACTTGGAGTAAAATGTTTTTCTTTCTCATTTTGGTGAAGTACTCTCGGCCAAGAGAAGTGAGGAAGCAGGAAATTTTTGAGTTCTCAAAATTATCATTTTGTGTGTAGAAAATTGATATAATATTTTCTTTAAAATATTATTGATATATTTTCTACTATTTAATATACAAGATTAATATTATCCCTCTAAAATGTTTATATTTAATATACTATTTTAAAACTTGCTAGCACAAGTGTTAATGACCCCATCCCATTGTTCTGTGACAACACTGGGGCCATTGCACAAGCGAAGGAACCACGATCTCACCAAAAGACCAAGCACATTGTACAACGTTATCACATAATACGAGAAATCATAGACAGAGGTGATGTGGAGATTTGCAAAGTAGGAACAGACGACAACATAGCTAATCCCCTGACCAAGCCTTTGGGAAAGCTAAAGCATGAGGGTCACACGAGGTCAATGGGCATTCGACCAATGCTAGATTGGCCAGATTGCAAGTGGGAGATTGTTGGAGGTGGTGCCCTTATGCCCAATTGCTGTTGTAATATGTTAGATTGGCAAATGTAATAAGTTTACAAAAATATCATGTTAATGTAAACTCTTAATTGCATTCCTAGAATAATATTATAAGATGTTTATCAGAATGACTCTTCTGATGTTGAGAGTGACATCTTGTCACTTAGTATAATTCTAAACGGTCTATAGTCGAAGCATTAACGAGAGTGGGATATCATTAGTGCATGTGAGACTAGTCAGAGTTAGATGTGTGACCTAGTCTCTTGGTCAATGACGGAGTGTTTGCATCTACTCCCGGGCAAATATTATCCTTAGTAATAGGATGCCACACCTGACCCACCTTAAGGATATTGCCTAGACTTTTAATCTATGCTCTAAGTGTCCTTAATGTGACTATTGGTATAACGATCCTTAAACTTGAAGTATTGCGTTCTTCAAATGCGTGAACCCGTATGCTTTGATTCATTGTCCTAAGCCGTATGAAACAAGGATGGTACACAGGTTTTGTATTGGGCATGCCGTTGCACATATTCGAAGACGTATATTACGTACAAAGAATTTGTCACTGCTACTTTAGAAGAATAATATCTTGTAGGGGCCCACTAATAAGTATGACTGAGGAAATGCATGGCCATGCTGAGATGAGTTTAGACAACTGTTCTCATCGGTCAGACTTGTTAATCAGTAAATAACTTAATGGCTACAAGTTGACTATTTTATATCCCTTGCACTAAGTTAAGACATTGGGACAAAAGGATCTTCATTATACAAAGTCTTAGTCGTATTAAGGTTTTAATAGAAAAAACGTCTGAACTTATAATCAAGGGGTAACAATGTGTTGCTAGATATCGCTTATTACTTATAGTATTGGTGTAGAGTTAATACTATGGCCAGTTTTATAAGTGCCTATATGGGTGATACATTTTGGACAATTTAAAGAGTAGGATTATAAGAAGGGATAACATTTAATTTGTATATTGTAAAATAGTAAAATAAGATTTTTTAATATAATATATGTATATATATATATATTATGTGCGCATATGTATATATAATGAGAGAGCATGAAAATGCATTCTATTGGGAATAAGTGTAATACAAATATGATAAATAGTTTTGCCTATGTAGGATTCGAACCCACACATGTAGTACATACTGCTCTACCATTTGAGCTAATAGGCAACAATTTATTTTTTCAAAGAGATTCTCATCTTGCATTTGGACCTATTAAATATGTATTTTAATCTTTGAACTTTGTATCATTCATTCAATGTGTTTCTAATCTATGCTCAACTGTATGACATACCATTTTAAATGCATAAATATTTGAAAAAAAGTGACTATGTAAAATATAGAGATGCACCATGTTTTTGTTAGAAGAGATTCACAATCTCATGGATAAGTTTCAAATTTTAGATGCATCATCATTTGCAAAAATTAATAAGATAAAAGTGCATCACTATGATGTCTCCCTTCGAAGAATAAAAGACATCATTACCAAGTCTGGATTATCAAGATGAATATTGACTTGCATCTAACCTGCATTGAAATGCATCAAAATGGCATGCATCGAACCTACATTCAAATGCATCACAACATACTCTAAATGAATTATTTTTTAAGTATATGTTTTGATGTCTTTCGAGCAATTACAAACTAATAATTCATATGCATCTTTTGAAGCTTCATATTAAACAATTAAAAAAATAATTAGTTAGTTACAACAAATAATATCCTGTGTTTCATTCTATAAAGCTTCATATTCAACCATTCATAAAAAAAATATACACAAAGAAGCAGTCATACACTCACATCAATGTGTGGATCTGGCCCGCAATATACCAAATCTTTGTTGGAATCAGCCATAATAATGTACAAACTTAAAAATGCAAGAGAGGCACTTTAAAAGTGCAAGAGAGGCACTTCAAAGTGCAATGCACAGACTTAAAAATGCAAGATAAGGAATGAATATGCATTACACATGGCCCTTAAGAGCATATATTTTCATATAAGAAAGAAATAAGGGTCAAAATGAACGATCTTGATAAATGCATAAATCATAACATTCTATGTATACGTCCAGTAAATCTGTGCATAATAAGAGTGACCTAGTTTACCATCTACATATGAGATATACTCCGTAAAAGATAGATGTTGACCAAAATGCAAGACGTGCACTTTAAAATGCAAGACATGCACTTCAAAATGCAGAACACGCTTCAAAAAATGTTAATCTGTGATGTACCAAAACTTTACAAAGCAAAAAGAATGGTGACTTTAAAACAATATCCAACTAAGACTGTATAGCATTGAGATAAGGCGTATAACAAAATGCAACAGAAAAAATCCCATAATAACAAAGTTGCAATAGAAAAAGGTTCTGTAGGAACAAAGGTATATGCAAGAGAAAAAAATTTCATTGAAACAACGATTCAATAGAAACAAAAAAAGTCATTTTTAATTATCATCGTGCCTCAATTCATATCCAGTTAACAAAGAATGGACAAAAAAATTAAAGAATAGCTGGGGTATCTACCAAAAAAAATCTACATGAACAAAAAAATCATTAATCCATGAGGAGTAAATCCATGACTAATCATACCTAAATTAGTAAGAGAATCAGTTAGCAATTCATCAAACACCATCATTACTATTCACTTTTTAATTGTCAAACATGCCACAGATCCATGGACTCATCTCTAAGGATCCACCTTCGCATGTAATCAGAAGCACAAACTGAATTTGAAAAGCAAACCTGGCCGGCCGGATGGAATTGGGCTCTAGGGATGGCCTCCAATTACTCCAAGCAAATGTATTAACCCCCTGCGTGAAATTGAAATTGATTGACTCTAATACAAGCAATAAAATTGAAAAGTCCTTTTGTGGTTACACCACAGATCGAAGCTGTGACTAGATCTAATTGGTTGTTGAGAAGGAAGGGAACGGAGATGGAAAGAGATCGTTTGAAAGATCATGAACGGATGTGAGTGGTGCTAGAATTTTGGAGCTCATCTATTGGAGAGAGAAAAGAAATAAGTAAAATACAAATTTACCCTCCGCAAGTAATGATGATTTATAATTAAGAGTGCTCAATCCGATGCATGAGATTCATTCTTATTTCTTTCATAAGATTGTATTCTCACCAGAACCAAACTCTATATATATATATATATATATATATTTAATAAAAGGAATTTTATTGAGATAAAGAGAGTTACAACCATTGTTCTGAGAGGAAAACAAAATACAAAAGAGGTCTAAAAATTAGAATGAAGCTGATGTCTTGATCCTTTCCGCCAGAATTTATCAATCTCCCAATCATCAAAGTCTTTGTCATGAATCAACCACTTCTTTTGTCGGTGAGTCCATGCCCAGGCTTGAATGAGCTTGCGTATTTGGTGGATAGTTCCGTATGGATTCATCTTTATCCCATCATATGTATATGCGTTACGCGCCTTCCATAGATTCCATGAGAGGAATGAGAGGTCATGAAGAGGGTCTGCATGAACGGGCTGGTGGTAAGGCTTGCTAAAATGGGGCTTATTATTGGTGCGAGGGGTAAGAGAGGTATCATCTTCAGTAACATCTTCCACCGTAGGCATCAGGTCCTCCCAATTAACCTGTTTGGCTGTATGGTTGATTGAGGGTTCACCAACTTGGACCTGAGAATTTGAAAATGTGGGGATTTCCTCTGATCTCCTACGCAGGTTTCCTTTGTCCAGTCCCTGTTGGAGTATTGGTTTGTATCTGAAAGGCCCATTCATGGCAGTATGGTTGGTGTAAGGGCCCACTAAGTTTGCTTTCCCAGACTTGCTGTGTCGTTTGTTAGAGACCATTTTCCAATCATTGTGAATATTCATGGGTGCATCCGCTCCAAGCTGGCCCACCTCCTTGAACGGAGCATTTGCAGGGAGGTTTTCCGGTAACTGTTTCGGGCAAGCTTGAGTATTATGGCCAAATCTGCGACATACATTGCAGTAGAGGGGGGGATTTTCAAATTTACATGGTAGCCAACGATCTTTAGCTCCCAATCTGAGATGGATATGAGGAGGGAAGGGGATGGATGTGGGGATGGCTTCTCTCTCCAGGTTTCCGGCCACCAGCAACTCGTCGAAAAATCTTAAATCCGTCAGATTACTCCCGCGGCGTACACTTTTCTCCGACCTCTTTAAGGGAGGCCAGGATGAGATACCGGGCACAGTCAATGGCTTCTACAAAAACTCCCCCTCAATCTCCTTCACGGCTGAGGAGGAGAGAAAGCTGGCCGCGAATTTCTCCTGGACGCTGGTAGGAAGATGCAGCCGCAGAATTCATCTTAATGAGATTGAAGATTTCTTGATCAAGGGTAGGTTCAAGGAGTTCAAACTACGACGTCTTCAATCCAATGAACTTCTCTTCATCTTTAAACATGAAGATGATTATCTTCGCTGGTTTTCAAGACGGAGGTGGAACATCAATGGATGCATCATCACTTTTTGTAAATGGACGCCGGAGCATGAGCCATCAGTGGACTCACCCTACTTCCCCATCTGGGTCGAATTGGGGAATTTCCCCATCCACCTAAATGATCACAAAGCTATCTTCTCAGTAGCCTCTGCCCTTGGGAAGCCAATCAAATTGGATGCAAACTGTGTCATTGGGGTTAAACCTGATCGGATTAGGGTTTGTGTGGAAAGGGATATATATATATATATATATATATATATATATATATATATATATATATATTGGAAAGATGCTGTCGCTCTCGAAATCCACGGAGACTTCTCCGACGTCTCCGGCCAAGGCTTCCGGCACTCGTTCCAAACTGTTCTCTGATCTCTTCAAGACGGATGGTGCCGTCCTCAAGGATCGACCACCAGAGAAATCAAGTTTCAAGGGCTGTCCATCCATCTCTTTCTCTAAGGAAGATGTAGAGGTTTTCTCCCGTCGGTTCAGATTTGCTCTCATCGGTAGATTTAGACGTCGCCCTCCACTTTCAGTCGTGAGGAGTTTTCTTACCCGGCTGGGACTTGTCGGGGGTTTCACGGTCGGAGAACTCAACTCTAATGCGGTTCTTATAAACTTTGAACAAGATGAGGACTATCAGCGCTTCTTCCTTCGGAAAACCTGGACGCTGGGAAGGGATATCATGGTGGTGACTAAATGGTCTCCAAACTTACGTCCGGAGGAGGACTCCCCTATTGTTCCGGTCTGGATCACTATTCCCAACCTCCCTATTCATTTTCATGATCAGAAGGCACTCTTCTGCATCACTTCAGCGTTGGGTAAACCCTTGAAAGTTGATAACGCCACCCTTAACTTTGCTAAACCCAAAGCTGCTAGGGTTTGCATTGAAGTTGACGTCTCTAAATCTCTCCATCAGCGTATTCATGTTAGACATGTTGATGAAGATCTTTTCTTCCAGGTTCTTTATGAGGATCCCCCTTCTTTTTGCTCTTCTTGTCATAGGCTAGGTCACACTTCTCTTTCATGTAAACCGGATAAGCTACAGGATAAGCCCGTGGTGGAGTCCATCCCCCCCATGAAGGATAAGGGCAAAGGGGTTTCTAATGATTGGACCACTATTCATCGTAAGGGCAAGTCTTTGAAAGCAAAGGTCACATGGGTTCAGAAGCCCACCACATTACAGGAAACTCCATGCATGCCTTGTCATGAGGATACTCCATGCATGCCATGCCACGAGGAAACTTCTAAAGCTGGGGCTCGGCGTAGGCCGCAAGTTCATTTCATGGGGTCAAAGGAGGTGCTTTTTCTGGATACCAATGGCCTTGCCCATTCCTCTTGTGATCCTTCCATTCCTGTGGTTGAGCCCACTTCTGAGCAGAATGTCTCTCTTGATTTGGAGAACTCATGCACCTCAGATCCCACATCTGGTCATATTGGCATGGACCTTCCTCTTTGTGATCTCCAAGTTGATATCCCTGTCAAGAAGACTTCTTCTTCTGCTCCTCCTACTCCTCAGAGAATTCGTACACGCTCAGACTATAAAAGGTCTGTTGATGGGGTCTTCCAAGCCCTGAAATGATCTGCACTCTTTTTTGGAATGTGAGGGGAGTCTCGAAGAGGTGCAAGAGACTCTCACATTTAAAGAAGCACCATTCTATTGATTTCCTTGTGCTTATTGAACCTTTTGTTAATGTTGAGAAGGGCAATAACCTTGCCTTTATGCTTGGCTTTAATGGTTTTCTTTCTGTAGCTAATAATAAAATTTGGTTCCTTTGGGACCAATCCAAATTTGAGGTTCTTGATGTGATGGATCTTGGTCAGATTACACATTTCAAATTGAGGGATAGACTGAATAATTTTAGCTTCACCATTAGTGGCATTTATGGGAGTCACATTACTGCTGAAAGGAAAGCTCTTTGGAATCAGATTGAGGCTTTTAATAATAGTTCTCAGCTTCCCTGGTGTCTAGGGGGAGACTTTAATTCCATTTCAGATCTCTTTCACCATAAAGGAGCTAGATTTCCAGACCTTGAAGCCATTGATGATTTCAATAGTTGCATTACAAATTGTAATCTCCTCGATTGTAGTTTCAGTGGATCTGCTTTTACATGGCATGGGGTACGTAGTAATGGTAATGTTTGGAGACGTCTTGATAGGGTCTTCTATAATGCTGGCTGGGCTGATCAATGGGACACCTTGTCCTTGCATCACCTTGCCAAAGGAGGAAGTGATCATTGTCCTATTCTCTTTAGCTCCAAGCCTGGTGTTAGGGATGGTCCTAAATCCTTTAGATTTCAAAATATGTGGCTTTTAAGGGATGACTTTATTCAATTTTGCAAGGATAGTTGGGAGGAAGTTCTTGTCTTTGGTGGGATGAGATGTTTGTTTAATAAACTCCATCATCTCAAGGCCAAACTCTCATCTTGGAATAAGGATCAGTTTGGCAATGTCTTTGATATGGTCAAAGAGGCAGAGGAGGAGGCTTCCAAGGCAGAAATTCTCTTTGAAGAGAATCCCTCTTCTGAAAATAAAATCCTCTACAACCAAAAGAAGGCCCAGCTTATAGAGTTGACCAACAGGGAATATACTTTTTGGAAGCAAAAATGTAATCTTAAATGGCTTCAAGAGGGGGATGCTAATACCAGATTCTTCCATAATTTGGTGAGAAGTAGAAGAAGACAACAACGGATTAATCTGCTGGTTAATGATGATGGCAATATCATTGACAAGCCTGAAGAGATGGAAAAGCTTGCTGTTCATCATTACACCAATCTCCTGAACCAGGCAGAACCAACAGCTTCTCCTGATATTTATAGGCATTTTCTTGATGCCATCCCGTCGTTGATTGATCATAGGCAGAATGACTACCTTATGTGTCTACCTACTGAAGAGGAAATTAAATTAATCATTTGGGAAATGGATCCTAATTCAGCTGCTGGCCCAGATGGTTTCAACATTACATTCTTAAAATGTTGCTGGGATTTTATTAAAACTGATGTGGTTTCTGCCTGCCAGGAGGTGTTCCTTGGTCTCCCTTTACCTCAAGCCGTTGTTTCCGCCAACATTTGTCTCCTTCTCAAGGTGGAGAATGCCAGGAAACTTCATGATTTTAGGCCAATCTGTTTGTCAACAGTTGCCTCCAAAATTGCTACAAAGTGTATTGCAAAGAGGCTAAGTACTATCCTCCCTCTCATTATTTCAGAAGAACAGGCTGCATATGTGCCCAGAAGGGATATTTTGGATCAGATCCTTATCACTAAAGAAATGGCTCATCATATTAACAGGAAGGCTCATGGTGGCAACCTAATTATTAAACTTGATATGGCTAAAGCATTTGATAAGCTAAGATGGTCTTATTTGTTTGATATCCTCAAGTCTTTTGGATTTTCCTCCAGCTTTATTCACATGGTTAATAATCTTCTCTCCTCTTCCAAATATTCTGTCCTTTTTAATGGAAAACCATGTGGTTATTTTGGTCAATCTAGGGGGGTTAAACAAGGGGATCCCCTCTCTCCCCTGTTGTTTATTATTGCCAGTGAAGGATTTTCCAGGAATCTCAACAAATTGTTCATTGATGGCCTTATTGATAGGTTCAATTGTGGCAGAAACTTTATATCCATTTCCCACTTGTCATACGCTGACGACATTATTATTTTTACTTCTGGAAACTCCAGATCTATCCATAATCTCAAAAGCTTCCTTCATAACTATCAGTTGGTTTCTGGGCAGACCATTAATTATGGGAAAAGCAATTTCATGTCTGGCTCCAAAATCAACTCCTTAACTATTACCAAGCTTGAGAGATTATTGATGATGCCTCATAAGAGCTTTCCTTTCACCTATCTTGGAGTGCCTATTGATTTGGGGATTACAAGGAAGAGTCACTGCTCTCATCTTATCCAATCTTTTGACAATAAGCTTAATGGTTGGTTTCAGAAGAATTTGGATCAGGCAGGACGATTGGTGTTAATCAAGCATGTTTTAAACACTCTCCCAAATTACTTCCTGGCTGCCAACACCATTCCCAAAGCCATTTCTCACTTGCTTGAGCAGAAAATGGCCAGATTCTGGTGGGGTGGTGGGGCTAGCAAACATCACTGGATTAGTTGGGAGAAGATGTGCTATCCTATGGAAGAAGGTGGTCTTGGCATTAGAGATCTCAGAAGCCTAGAGAAAGCTTTTAGTCTCAAACTTTGGTGGAAATTTTACCAAGACAGTGGGCTATGGGCTAGGTTCATGAGGGCCAAATATTGGAGGGATGGTGATATCTTTGAGACTATTACTGATTCCCCTGTATGGAAGAGGATTTCTAGGGTTGAGGAGACTGCATCCAATGCATGTAACTTCAATGAAGATGGTTCAATGGTCTGGTCTCCTGAAGCCAATGGTTCTTTTTCTCTCAAATCTGCCTTTGATCTCTGCAGACCGTCAACTTCTACAGTTGCTTCCTTTAAATACCTTTGGATGAAACCACAAAATCGTAAGGTTGGGGTATTCACTTGGAAACTTTTCAAACGCTGCCTTCCTATACCTGAGAACCTCCAAAGATTAGGGTTCCATCTGCCATCTATCTGCCCTTTCTGTATGGCAGATTCTTTTAGCTCCAAACATGTTTTTATTGACTGCCCACGGATTGAGGAAGTCTGGAAGTTCTTCTCAGCCTGCCTTGGTATCCTACACAGCCCTTCGTCCTCCATCAACCAGCATTTTATGAATTGGTGGTTGAGAGGTAACAACAACAACATATATGGTTTTTTACGTCTGCATCTCCCAGGGATTATTTGCTGGCATATTTGGAAAGAACTTAATGCTCTTCTTCATGAAAACAAAGCTGCCTTCACCTCAAGCACTCTCATAGACTCTATTTCCAGGTTTGTGAGGCAATGGCTCAATGCAAAATCCCCCAAAAAACTCAGGATTGCTGATCCATGGCTTGCTGCAAACCAGTTACTGCCTTCCTTCCCTCAAGGGCCTAGAATTCGTGTTGTTAAATGGTTAGCTCCTCCTAGGGGGCGCCTGAAACTCAACATTGATGCATCCTTCACTCCCATGGCCAAGCGAGGTGCAGCTATTCTGCGTGATGATGAAGGTAGATTTGTGCGTGCAGCCTCGTTCTTGATTTCTGGATCCACTCCTTACCAGGCTGAACCAAGGGATTAAATGGGCCATTTCCTTTCATCCTCTTCTTGTTTATGAAACTGATGCCTTGGAAATACTGAGAAGACTTGGCCATTACTCTTATTATGCTTATTCTCCTTTTCAGATTGATATTCTGGCCAAACTGATTCATGAGAACGACATTTGCAAGTCACATATTCTTCGGGAGGGTAACCATCCTGCAGATCTATTAGCTAAGGAGGATAGGGATAAAGATTGTTCTTTCATTGATTATTGTAATTTTAACGACTGTCCTTCTTCTGTAATGGCCGCTCTTTTAAATGAGCGCCTTCCCTCTTTCCGCTTTCATTAATAAAATCTTTTTTTCCCGGTTATATATATATATATATATATATATATATAAATAAATATATATATATATATATATTTATTTATTTATATTTTCAAGGAAAACTTTTATTAAAAAAAAGTAGGAAGGAAAAGGAATACAAGAAGAAAGAGAAAAACGTGCTAAACAATACACAACAGTTTCCTTCCATTTCTCCAATACTGGTCCAGACCCCATCCGGTGAAGTCTTCATCATGGATCATCCATTTCTTGTTCTTGTTAACCCAACACCAGCTATGAAGTTGTTTGAAGCATTGTTGAATCACCCCCTCCTTGGTGCACCTCTGATCATCATAAATAAATAAATAAATAAATAAATAAATATATATATATATATATATATTTGCAAAGAAATCAAGTTTTATTAATGAAAGCGGAAAGAAGGGTTACAATCATGATACAGATTACTTTTAACAACATCCGGGAAAAGGTTAATATGTAAATATTCTATGAAAGGGGAGTCATTAGACCTATCCACCTTTGCAAGAGCGTCCGCCACCGAATTCCCTTCCTAGAGAATATGAGAAACCTGGATCCCATTTTGGAGTATAATTTGACCCAAAATGTCAATTGGGAAAGAAGACCTTGAGTGTTGTTTGAACTTAGGGATTCTGGAAATAATAGACCTTGCATCTATTTCAAAAACCAATGAATTGGAAATATGGAGAGCCCATTTAATAGCCTTAATAGCAGCTTCCACCTCAGCTTGGTAGGCACTCTTAGTGTTTAGCTTGAAAGAGGCCCCTCGAACCAATCTTCCTTCGGCATCTCTTAAGATAGCCGCCCCTCTCTGCTGTTTAATAGTGTAGGACGCATCCACATTTAGCTTAAGTCGCCCTTTAGGAGGAGCCATCCATTTAACATATATATATATATATATATATATATATATATATATATATATATATATATTAATAAAAGGAACTTTATTGAGATAAAGAGAGTTACAACCATTGTTCTGAGAGGAAACCGAAATACAAAAGAGGTCTAAAAATTAGAATGAAGCTGATGTCTTGATCCTTTCCGCCAGAATTTATCAATCTCCCAATCATCAAAGTCTTTGTCATAAATAAACCACTTCTTTTGCCTGTGAGTCCATGCCCAGGCTTGAATGAGCTTGCGTATTTGGTGGATAGTTCCGTGTGGATTCATCTTTATCCCATCATATGTATATGCGTTACGCGCCTTCCATAGATTCCATGAGATGAAACCCGGGAGTATAATTCTCAAGGCACCTTTGAAACTTTTCAAATTACCTCTTACCCACCATGAGATTGCATGTTGGCGGAGCAGCAGGTTTGAGGTGAGCATGGGAGCATCAACTAGATGTGCAAAAAAGTTCCATACTTTTTTGCTCTCAGTGCAGTTCACGAGGCAGTGATCCAAGCTTTCCTCGTTGTTGAGGCAGAAGCTACAACGACTAGGTAGTGCCAGGTTGAATCTTCTGAGGTTGTTGGGGAAAGGAAGACAGTTGTTGAAGATCTTCCATTGGAAGAAACGCAGTTTAGGGATTTGTGCTTTGTGCCAAATAAATTTGGTTGAGAGGAGTACCGGGAGTTTCTCTTCAGTGGCATTAAAAGCAATTTTGAGGGAGAACTGTCCATTATCCCAAAGTGCTTGTCCATTTTTCCAATGCATATGAGTTGTGCCAAGAGAGTGTACTCTACAAATTCTCTTCCAAGTTGGGGAATCTGGGAGGCGTTCCTTGATGTTACCGTTCTTCATGTACTTTGCTCTGACAAGTTTAGCCAATAGACCTTGATCGTGCTGGGCTTTCCACCAAAGTTTGAGAGAGTATGTTGTCTCAATGTGAAGAAGGTCCCTGATCCCTAGGCCACCTGCATTCTTGTTTTGGCATGTGAAGTTCCAGTTCCTCCAGTGGTATATATATATATATATATATATATATATATATATATATATGTATATATATAAATATATATGTATATATATATATATGTGTGTGTATATATATATATATATGTATATATATATGTGTGTGTATATATATATATATATATATATCTGTGTGTGTGTGTGTTGGAACACAAGTTTACACCTACGTCGTACTAAACTGTGTTCGTTTCTATGACAGGTTTTGATAATGCCAAACCGCCATGACATAACAAGGCTAAAGAGAACAAAAACCAAGGCGAAGGAACATGGCATGATGTTTTGAGAACCAAGAATCCAGAATCAAGAACGAAGAATTAGATTTGTATTGAGTCGGTCTTAATGTGATCAAGACCGGCACAAACTTTCAAAACTTGGCTCTCTAGGCTCATTTCATCAAAACTCTTTTTACAAACTCAAAAATGTTTTTCATAAGTTTTAATCTACCCAAAATTACTTGGAGTTCGCCCAGACCAAAAACCAAGCCATCCGGCGTTTGGTTTTCAGAAACCAGCGTTCGGCTCTTGGTTTTCGGCATTGGTTTTTGGCGTCCGAACCAACCAAGTGGTTCTCAACTTTTTATGACTGGTTTTTACTACTGGGCACATTTAATTAGTTCTCCAACAAAAACGCCTCAAAAAACCACCTTCCGTTTTTGGTCGTTTAGTGAAAACCATGCGAAACGGCGCGAACTTGGCTAGCCGTGGTTTTCAACTAAATGACGTGGTTTTTAAGATGTTTTACTTGGTTTCTTAGCAAAATGCAATAAACAAATGTTTTCTAAACTTGGTTTTTATTTTGGAGAACTTGCGTTTTTGACATCGGCTAACGGCGTGACTAAACCAACCATGGGTCTGGCTAAACCAGCCCAACAGCGATGTTGAGGTAATCAACAGCGCTGTCTGGCCTGGGTAGCTAAAAAATGGTTTGGCGTTAAGTCTTCCAACAGCGATGTTGGACACTAGACATCGCTGTTGAGCCGAGGTTGGATTTCCAGAAACTTCTGGAACAGCGATGTAGGCTTCCCTACAGCGCTGTCCAACCTAAGCCAAAAATATAGTGCATTGGCAGAAAGTTTTTGGACAGCGATGTTGACCTAGCAACAGCACTGTCAGGCCAAACTTCCATCTTCAAAGGCAGACCTAAACAGCGATGTTCTAGTATGGAACATCGATGTAGAGACCTGACCGTTGGAAGGAATTTAAGGCTAAAACTTTCCTTGTTTGGAAGTCAACAGCCAAAACAGCGATGTAGGGATTTTAGACATTGCTGTTGGCATGACCGTTGCTTCCCATTTTTCAAACCGCAAGCCTAGAACAGCGATGTCCAGGCCTAGGACAGCGCTGTCTAGGTGATTTTCAGCAGATCCAAATTTTATCAAATCCCACAAATTGTGCCAATCACCCCTTAAATACTTTGGTCCGTTGGAGCCTATTTTTCTACTATAAAATGGGGTGTTTGGGTCTGTTTTACACATCACATTACTTCACAACTCCTACTCTTTCATTGCAAATCATTCTTCAATTATTCATAGCTTTTGAGAGCCATTTTTTGAAGCTTGTGTTGTATTCTTGAGCGTTCTTAGTTTACTCATTATCCACTCTAAAAGAGAGTATTGTTCTTGAGTGTTTTTAGTGTTCTTAGACACTTGACAAGAGAAGGTATTTCTCTTGTTGTTCGAAGGAAGGGTTGTTTCCTTCGAAGGTTCGTTGAGGTTCGTGTGACTCGAATTCTCAAGTTGTACGGGTTTGTTAAGCACCGTTAAGCTTAACGAGATAGTAGTGTAGCTCGAGAGAGTCTCTCGGGAGGCTGGATTAGCCACAAGTTGTGGTGAACCAGGGTAAAATCGGTGTGCCTCTTTACTTCTCGTTTATTCATTTTTTATTCCT